TGGCTCTCGCCAGAATGGAAATCCCTGGAAGAAGCGTTGCGCAGCTTCCGCGTCCTCTGTCAGCCCGTTGTGCTTGACGACGCGAGCCTGCGTGCGGAACTGACGGTGGCGGCGGATGCCTTGGTTCGCTCCGGCAGTGCGCTCAAACAGCAGGGAGCGGACAGACAGCTTCTCTTGCGCGGGGCATGACAAAACACAGTCGTCTTAGTCTTGCTTCCGACTAGCCTGTCTTTAGACGACAAGCATATGCATCCAGCTGGAACCGGTCACTGCAGCTGGGCTTCAGGGTAGTTCTTTCCCTTCTCTTCTGACGGTTTGATCCTTAAGCCCTCGGGCCGGAGGTGATGCCGTTTGCGTTAGGCCAGATCTTCGGATCTAGGTCGTCCTTCCACTCCACTCCACTTAAGAGCCTAGAGCGGGGCCTGGGGCAGTGTTACTGCGCGGCTTAAGCAGTACACGTATGGCCCACAGCTCGGCATCAATTTGCGGGCAGGTTTCCCAGCGGTTTTGCTGAAGCCGTTTCCTCTGGGAGCCTGCGGCAGTTTCCTGCGCGGCGTCTCTGCTGGACGCCCGCCGTCTTAAAGCCTGCGGATGGCTAGGCCCATCTGCCCCTCGTGCCTGCTGGCACTTGTGTGCGTCACTCCCGTGCTGTCACCCCGTGCGGCCGGCACGCGGACCTTAATTGGTCGCGGCCCGCCTGCTGAGTCAGGCCGCCGTGGCTAATAGTCGGCCCTTCCTGGGTCGCTGGACACTTTTGTGTCGCGCCAGCTGGCGCTCGTGTTCGGCACAGCCGTGCCGTCCCTTGCAGAAGCTGGCGTGCAGACCTTGTTCGGTCGCAGCCACGCGCCGTAGGTGCGCGCAGCTCGCGGCCCTTGTTCGGGCGCGGCCGCCTGCCCACAGGGGCTTTAGCTGGCAGGTCTGTGCCACGTAGCTTCTGAGCGGTAGGTAGCCGTAGCCGTAGCTTAGTGTACCTTAGTTGTACAGTAGCAGCTTGACTGCAGAGACGCTCTCCGGAGCCTCAACTCCAGCATCAAAAGTTTGGCCCGCGCGAGCTTGCAGCTCAGGGTCTGGTTTAGGAGGGTCGGCTAGTGGGTTCGTGCGTCGTGCGGTCGTCGTTGTCAGGGCTGCGCCCTACCGCCTGCGACGCGGCCCACCCCTCCTGGCACTGGTGTGAGTGCACATACGTGTATCAGTGCACATGTCTCTGCAGGCTGCTTTGTAGCTTTGTTGCATGTTGTGTCTAATTTGAAGTTTTATGCCAAACAAATGTTTTTGGCTCAAGTGCTTTGCTTCTAAGCAGTGCCAAGTGTGCACGGCTGTAGTGAGTTAAAGTAGCTTCGCGCCACGCGGAGTTGCTACTCGCGACGGCTTGCGCTTTTTGCAAGCTTAGGGACTGTGAGCGTGCGAGTGGACTCGCGAAGCAAAAGACAGCTGCCGCTCCGTGTTTGCTCTTTTGCAAGACCGGTTTGCGGTGCTTCACAAGCAGTATTGAGCAGTAGTAGTAGTAGTAGTAGTAGTAGTAGTAGTAGTAGTAGTAGTAGTAGTAGTGTGGCAGTGGTAGTATTCGTATCAATAGTATCAGCAGTATCAGTAGCAGTAGTAACTAGTAGTAGTAGTAGTAGTAGTAGTAGTAGTAGTAGTAGTAGTACTTGTTGTTGTTGTAGTTGTAGTCGTAGTTGTAGTTGTAGTTGTTGTCGTCGTAGTAGTAGTAGCAGTAAGTAGTAGAGTAGTAGTGGTACTGGTAGTGGTCGTGGTGGTGGTGGTGGTGGTAGTGGCAGTGGTCAGAGGTAGAAGCAGTTGCTGCAGTCACAATCGCAGGTGCTGTTTGAACGGCAACCCTAGCCGAGCCAGCTTGTACAACTAGAGTTCAGCGACTCAGCAAACTTGACGGCTGAATCTAGGTCGCCCAGTGCTCCCAAAGATCCACGAAGGCAGCCTCGGTTTGCTCCAGTGCACCGTGTTCGACAGCTGCTACTGCCAGTTGAAAGGCTAGGCTTTGCAGATACACTGCGATGATCACCTGCACTGAGAGTGGTTCATGAAATAGAGCAGGAACCGCACTGTAGCCGTGGTCGAACGCTAGCCGTTTCTCTTACAAGTCTTCACTCGTGTTTCTGGCCGTGCTACAGCTTCGAATTAAAATGCATTTCATGCTAGCGAAGCTAGCTAACATGCACAATGCATGCAGGCTCCTTCGGAGCAAGTCTGGCAACAGCGTGTTTTCGGCTGCAGCGGCTCGTTGTGGCTGCCTTCATTGCAGTCGTCGCCTCTACCGCTGCGCTACTGCCAAAAAAGTCCATGTGTCAGTGATGTGGCAACTCGTTCTGCTTTTCTAGAGCTGTGAAGCTGAGCAATTCAACAGCTGTTTATAACAACTCTGCATTTGTTTTGGAATCTTCTGAACTAGTCCAACCCACCTACGGCAGCTACGGTGATGCAGTGACCTTCGCGGCTGCGCTCTTTTTGACACTGATGCAGCAGTTCTATTCGCATGAAACATTGAGCTCGTGAGCGCGATCTGCCCCAACCCAATTGATAGTTGAGCTGTTGCAACAACTATCTAAAATGCTGCGTCGTAATCGATGCGGCAAACCCATCAACTCGAGCACTGATGAGCACTGTTCACCTGGACCCCCACCCTCAAAGAAAGCGGACCATTAGCTTTGTTGCAACTGTTGCAAGTTTTCTGCCGCGGCTTGCAGCCCAGAGTTTGGCGGTCTCATGACAGCGTAAGAGCACAGATGGACATGCCGCCTTGTGGTGCCACATGCGCCGAGTCATCCCCCATCTAGATTTTCACACAATGTCGCAATAGCAGCAGGCCAGAACACCGGAGGCAGAACAAAGCTCAACAGGGCGTGTTGGAATTGAGATGGTCGGACAGAAGGACTGCCTGCGATCCAACACTCATCTACAACAAGCCGCGACATCTGAGTTGTTTGATCAGGAGGAATCTGCAGCAAAAGACACCGATGAGGACAATCGGCTTCCTGTTTGCACTGAATGAGGCAATCTGCAGAAACTTGCATTTTCCCAGTGACATTTCCAATTCTAAGGGTCTTGTTTGGTTTGCGTTCGGTGAGCACGGTGCATATGTGCCGACTTGGAAGATCCTTTGGTCTTCGTTGACTCGTGCGTAGGAGGAGCATCAAGATTCCTCGTCTTCCTCGAGCTCCGATGTCGATGACTTCGGGTGCCGCCGTGCAGTCATGTGCTGTCTTGCTGCCCTGGAGAGGGTGTTCACGTTAAGGATTTTGAGCATTTGAGCATTGTCTTTGAAGGTTTCTTTTGGTCGATTCGCAAATTTAGAGCTGTTTGAAGTGCTTGTGTGCTGGGGCCGGGGCGAGTCTGCGGAGTAAGGGGTTAAACAAGGGAAAGGTTTTCTTTTGCTTTCCTTCCACACCGGACCGCACCGAAGTGTCTACACGCACGCCAATGCTCCAGGAAGTCTGAAGCCGAGGAAGTGGGCTGGGCGCTCGGATGAGCTGAGCTCCTGCGCGTGCACACCCGTCGCCTAGTGGTGCAGAAGTCGAACAGCTCCTCAGATGATTTGGAGCTTGTATCGGCTAAGGACCACCGCCGGCAAACATGTCGAGGCACCTCGGAAAGACACTCCACAACAACCCGTGACTCGGAAGTTGACCAAAGCATCAAGTCTAAATCTAAAGGAGTCATTAGCCATCCATCTCAAGAGCACCTACCCAAGTGCATCTCGTCTCCCAGCTGACGTTGAGATTCTGCTTCATCTTTTTGCCGTGGGTCGAGCGGACAGGATTACACGGAGCTTCTCATAAATACTGATGCTTGTGTTAGGTGACATGCATGTCACATCATGTCACAATATCTTGGAACTCATTGCTCATATGTCCCTAATGCCCTTGCAACTCGGTTCCTAACGAGAATCAGGTGTCATCATCCACGCTGGGTGGTTCAGACTTGATCTCAACCGTGTACACGGCGACTTGAGCAGTAGTCTATTGAACCAACTCAGAGGTGCGTAGGTCTCGCGCCAATACTGAGCTACAACTATTGCAAGTCCACAACTTTGCACACCGTTCCCTGACCCGCTCCAAACATCATGCTACACTCGCCGCGTGAAGTAATCCAGGTCTCGTTTGGCCCCTGTGCGGATCATCCAAACAACAGACTATGCGCTTACAGCAAACAGTGGTTTGTTCAGATCTGCATGCTGCGACTCAAACTCCTCCTCCTCCTCCTCCTCCGAAGGCGGCGAATATCAACCGACGTGAACATGGAATTGCTCCGCAAAACCTTGGTGCAAGCCTGAGGAATTGGGAAGTTACAGTCCTCAGATGTAAATCTTCATTGTGCGACATGCACCTGAGGAAGAGAAGGCCAAAAGAAGGCAGGAGGCTGAAGAGAAGAAGCAAAAGGTGCACCCCGACACGTCATGGTGAGGGTATTATTTCTGCTTCTCGATCTCGTCAGGCTCGATTCCGACGAGCGGTTGCCAACTTTGCCATCCCATCGAGATTTAGAGTTTTGCAACACTTCAGGAAAGACTGTCATGCTTGCTGATTGAATTTTGAAATTCCTTGCCAGATGGATGGTCCCTACATGACTTTGATTTCAGTGTGCTTGACTTTTTGGGCCCTTCTTGGGGACGACATCCGCATCCTCACCACAAACCGACCCGCTGACATCGGGTGTGGCCCTCAGCCTGTTCGTCATTGATGCTGCAGATGTTGCCATATCGTGTGCACAAGAACATACCCCTTCTCTGCTCGGCTCACTGATACCAACTGCATGTTGCTGCTTTGCCGTGGAGGTTCAAGAAGCTGTTTGCTTCTCTGCATGCAAGATACAAGTCGCTGTCTGTTTTCCTGTTCAGCATAGTTCCATGACGCGGGTCAAAGTCCAGCCACTTGCACATTCCATTCGGTTTACTATGTCGGAGCGGCGGCAGAGTATCAGACGCACTGTGACCCACAAGCGGCACTGGCTCGTGGGTCAAGTTTTAGCGTGCATTGCATTGGCAGGTATGCTTGGACGATGTCAGAGACAGAATTGATGTCCAAGGGCTCTGCCAGGTCAGGATGCGTGGGGGAACTCTGTGTCAAGCATGAGTGGCAGTACCACCATTTTGCATTTTGCAGGTCGAGCTAGCGGCTGCTATAAGGGCCCTTGCCTTCGAGCTACGGGGGCGGTGCCCCACTCAGTCCATTAGGGCTGTAGAATTTAAGATCTCCCTCCTGCATGGGTCACTGGAAGGCTGGGCATTTGGGCACCCCAGGCATCTGATGAGGCAGGGATTATGCTTTGAGCATCTCCGCACCAAGAGGTAGACCATGCACAGGTGTTGGCCAGAGTGGAAGACAGGCTGAAGCACAACGTCGTCGTGCAGGCCTCGAGCTTCACAAAGCCTCGTCGAAGAGCCGCATCATGTCTGGCCTGTAGTGCCAGTAGTGAGAACCGCGTGGCATCGTGCTGCAGTTTGTTGAGCAAACACTCCGGTCTGTGAGCTGTGCGGCCCCACGTGCAAAACGAGGATGGGCCGGAAGAAGCTGGGCAAGGCCGCGTAAAGCCGGCTATTGGATATTGCCATATCTTCGTTAAGCTCAGCAGACTTCCGCAGCAGTTCGCGCCTTTCTGTCGTTGCTCAGCATAAGACTGCTAAAAATATGCAGCGTCACGGAAGTAAATCGCTGCAATAGTGTACTAGCAGCTTGCACTGCAAAGCGAGAGCCTTCGCGGTACAGCTGACTACACGTGCTGAACACAATTCTGCTTCAGTGTTTGTGCTTAGGTTGGCGAATGCAGCACGAGAGAGAGAGAGAGAGAGAGAGAGAGAGAGAGAGATCGCCTACGACTCAAACCCCGGAGCAAAGCAAAGAGAGAAAGATCGCCTCTTTCACACTGGGGCGATTTTCACCTTGCAGACTGACCAGTGCGTGCCCGCGCGCGGGAGGGGATGCTGTCCCTTCCTTGGCTGTGTGCAAGCAAGAGAAAGATCGAGTCCCCACCATCTGTGCCACCACAGTCACAACAAATGAGGGTTGTTGTTAAGGTCCGTGTCAACGGTTTATACAAAGCCGGTCATGTGACAGGGTTTCAAGGGTCCGCCAAAGACCCACTGGAAGCAGCTGCCATTGCTACATCAACACGCGAGAGCACACTACAAGATTCAAACATGTCCTTCTCTGGAGTTCATATCTGTACACGTAATATAAGCGTCAAGGGGTTGTCGTTGTAGTGAGTGGGCATGGTTTGTAAGTTTGGGCTCGGGATCAAGGATTTTTCAGTGGATTGCGCGAAGGTTCCTCAAAAGCTCAGACGTGTCTTGAAGGCAGTAGGCTCAGGCTCAGCAGGCCTGTGCAGCTGCCGGACCACAAATTGCATGAGCTCTGTCACGAGGAGCTCGGACTCAGAGACAAAAACAGAAAGTCATGAGGATAGTCCGAAAACAGGTTTTTCAATCGATGCCGGAGGCTGCTCGTATAGAACATGGCGATAGAAACAAAGGCTTCGTTTCGAGGCTGGTTGGTGCAGGGTACTCTTGTGCCTGAAGCTCGAGACCATGCGTGTCTGTGTGAATGTACGTATGTACTTACAGCATGTAAGCAGCTTAAGCATGTACTTATGTGGGTGGTTGTCAAAATTGTGGTCCCTTTTTTGGGTCCTTAGTATAGTACGGCACCTAATATTTAGGGTACCCAAAAGGGACCCTAATCTTGACAACCACCCATGTAAATACATATATACATAGCCGCAAATAAGCTCTGCGAAAGCTCCGCTCAGACATTTACTATATGGCACACATGCTGCTGTCGCCGGGCATATTCCTAACATTTCCCCTTTTGTCACTGACGTATTGCTTCAGGTTGTTTTGGGTTAGGCTTTATGGCCTTCACGTGCTGCATGTTCTGTCTTTCCTGTAAGTAAAGCGTTCTTAATTCAGCAGTAATCTACTATCCAGCACTCGCAATGCCATTCAAACGGCACATGTCATGGGTGTGCCATACTGGTCTTGAACTTTGCGCGTGCAACTACAGTAGTACTGCTTGTACTACACCAACGACGATGACGACTACTGCTACAACAACTCCTACAACAACGATGCAGCAGCAGGAGCCGGAGCTTGAGGAAGGAGCACTAGTAGCAGTAGCAGGAACAGTACTAGTGGTAAGTAGTGGTGCTAGTAGTGGTATTAGCAGCAGCAGCAGTAGGAGTAGGAGTAGGAGTAGGAGTAGGAGTAGGAGCAGGAGCAGGAGTAGGAGTAGGAGTAGGAGTAGCAGTAGTAGTAGTAGTAGTAGTAGTAGTAGTAGTAGTAGTAGCAGAAGTAGTAGTAGTAGTCGTCGTGGTAGTAGTAGTAGTAGTGGTGGTGGTAGTAGTAGTAGTAGCAGTAGCAGTAGTAGTAGTAGTAGTAGTAGTAGTAGTAGTAGTAGTAGTGGTGTCAGTAGTAGTAGTAGTAGTAGTAGTAGTAGTAGTAGTAGTAGTAGTAGTTGTATCATTATGTAGTAGTAGTAGTAGCAGTAGTAGCAGTAGTAGTAGTAGTAGTGATGGTTGTGGTAGTAGCAGTGGGAGTAGTATCGGCAGTCGTAGTGGTAGTAGTAATCGTAGCAGACGTAGTAGTAGTAGTAGTAGTAGTAGTAGTAGTAGCAGCAGCGCTCATAGTTTTCGTAGTAGTAGTAGTCGTCGTCGTCGTAGTAGATGTAGTAGTAGTAGTAGTAGTAGTAGTAGTAGTAGTAGTAGTAGTAGCAGGAGTAGCAGTAGGAGTAGTAGGAGTAGTAGGAGTGGTAGGGGTAGTAGTAGTAATAGTAGTAGTAGTAGTAGTAGTAGTAGTAGCAGGAGTAGTAGTAGTAACGCATCCGCCCCCGGTGCGACGCCCAGACCTCTTTTTTGGGGGACTTGCTGTGGTCGGAAGTGCTGTGTTTTACAGCACTTTCTTTCCGCAGTTATCGAAAGTGGCAACTGTTCCTGGTTTCGTGTGTATTTTTATCATGTTTTCTAACCTTGTTCATCAATCTCGCACCTGAAAATGCTGGTATTTACAGCACTTGTCTTTGCGAAATTCATGACTTTTTACTGTTTTTGGGTGTCTCGATTTTCGTGCCCAAAACCTAGCGATAGCAGAATCAAGGTTTTTTGGGTCTCGTTTTGATCATGATGTTCATCCAAATCGTTGGTTTGGAGAGCATCCATGTCCAAAACCTAATGACGTCCATGGTCTAGCGCATTTTGGTTTGGAGAGCATCCATGTCCAAAACCTAATGACGTCCATGGTCTAGCGCATTTTGGTTTGGAGAGCATCCATGTCCAAAACCTAATGACGTCCAGGGTCTAGCGCATTTTGGTTTGGAGAGCATCCATGTCCAAAACCTAATGACGTCCATGGTCTAGCGCATTTTGGTTTGGAGAGCATCCATGTCCAAAACCTAATGACGTCCATGGTCTAGCGCATTTTGGTTTGGAGAGCATCCATGTCCAAAACCTAACGACGTCCATTGTCTAGCGCATTTTGGTTTGGAGAGCATCCATGTCCAAAACCTAATGACGTCCATGGTCTAGCGCATTTTGGTTTGGAGAGCATCCATGTCCAAAACCTAATGACGTCCATGGTCTAGCGCATTTTGGTTTGGAGAGCATCCATGTCCAAAACCTAATGACGTCCATGGTCTAGCGCATTTTGGTTTGGAGAGCATCCATGTCCAAAACCTAATGACGTCCATGGTCTAGCGCATTTTGGTTTGGAGAGCATCCATGTCCAAAACCTTTCGAAATGTTGCTTCTTTGCATCGCACCGAGCGGGGATGGTAGTTTCCACTACTCTTCAACAGCTTACTCTGTGGTTCAGTAGTTCAAAAACGAGTATATGCGCAAGAACCGCACATCAGCAGCATCCAGCATTATCATGTTCATCATCACATTCTGCTCCAAGTAAGCGGGTGCAAACTTGGCCAAATGAGCATTCTCCGGCTTCTCGGTCGTCGGTCCATCGTAGAAAGGACACTTCGAACTGTTTTTTCTATGTCCCACTTGCTGACATTTACTGCAGCGGTGTGGACGATCCTTGTCCTTGCTACGCCACATCTTGGACCGCGACAGCTTTGATGGAATATGTTGTACATCCACGAACTCAGCGACCGGCGTCGCACCAGGGGTGATGAGGTAGTAGTAGTAGTAGTAGTAGTAGTAGTAGTAGTAGTAGTAGTAGTAGTAGAAGTAGTAGTAGAAGTAGAAGTAGAAGTAGAAGTAGAAGTAGAAGTAGAAGTAGAAGTAGAAGTAGAAGTAGAAGTAGAAGTAGAAGTAGAAGTAGAAGTAGCAGTAGCAGCCTGTGCACATCATTGCAGACACCCGATCATCATCTCCCTTTGCTGCAGTGGGGTTGATGTCTGCAGAGTTTGCAGTGCTGCGAGTGCCAGCGGGCTTGGCCCATTGGCATTGCAAATCTGTCGGAAGTGGATGTGAAGCACCGTCCTGCAGCAGTCGCGACAGGGGATTCGAAGTCGCCGGCCATGTCAGTGGGACCTTGCGCAGATGTTCCGTGACGGGCTGAGGTCACATGATGTTGCTAAGCTGCATCATGGTTTCACATCGCGATATGTGCCACTGATTAGTCACTGTTCTCTCTGTGTATATGTCTGATTGTTCTGTCATTGCAATCGCGACTCCTGCATGCACTGCATGCTCTTGTCAGGTCTCCAACATTCGACGAGATTTCAGAAAGCGACGTGGCAGAGGCAAGAGTCGAGACACTGACTAGCTAAGATTGCCAACGCTGCGAGCATTGGCAGCTGCAGTGAATCTGACATTCCATCGAAGGTGCCCCACCTGACTGACCCGCTGGCATCAGCAAAATTTGCGATGCACGCAGAGGCTTATCACATACTTTTGAGCTACGTTGGCGTTGACACATTGATCTTCCTAACCTTTGTTGCTAGGTTGCGGCGTTTCAGCGCCAGTCGGAGAGGACCGAGCTGCTCCGACGCCAGGCTGATTGATGAATCAGGAGAGCTTTGGCGGGGAATGGCAGGTACCACAAGAGCTCATGCTGTTACTACCTGATTGCAGAAATGCAGGTGGCTGCGCTCGACAGAAAGTTCGAAACTGCAAGCACTGATTTCCAACGGCTGGCAGAGGCGATGCAGCATGCCTGTGACGTGCGGTGCTTTCACGGCTTGGCGGCGGCAGTGCTTCGCAATACATGTCGTGTAGAATAGGAGGCCGC